ATGGCAATCCATGCCTGCTGTTTGCTGCATAACTCCCTTCCAAAAGTGAAAGCTGAGCTCTTCCGCCTGCCTTGTCTACCTCGGTACTGACCTGTTTTTCATTCCTGAAGTAGACCTGCTTTTAGATTATGAGAAATTACTGTTTTTCATATAGTACAGTGTGAAATTGAAGCATTAGTAATTATGCTTTGGGGATTCTAGGTACACATACTCCGTTTCAGAGTCTTCCTATCTTATGGGAGCGTGTTCTTAAAGTAAACCTCAACAACAGCGAGAGAAGGAAAGCATTGCACGACAGCTTACGCAGGCAATTACAAGATCAAGGCCAGCGTCTGGGTGGAAAGTGGCCGTGAGCACGCCCTTCGTAAGACAAAACAGTGGGTGCTCTGCACGTAATCCGCGTGCCCGTTCGTTTCCAAGTTAGTTGCAGGTTCGCATTCCTTTCCATATAATGCGTGAGTGCTGGAATAAACTGAGAAGAAAAAAGCCAACTGATAGATTGTGAAAAATAGGGAATCGTTCAAAATATTAATGTAACGCTAGGGGTGACTGGGGAACAAACGGTACATTTGCTCGTTGCCCAGCCTGACATAATTAATATTCTAGGTCATGCTTAAGTTCCCATGATGGAGGGGCTGACGGCAAGAATTCAAGATATATATATATATATATGTAACTCATTGCCCCCCCCCTTTTTTTTCTTTGACGAGTCAGAATCGTAGGTTTTTAAAAAATCAGTGCTTTCACACCTCATTTGCCGCATGCTCCGCTGGGCCGGCGGTCGGCAGCCAGGCCCGACGCAAGGAGGTCAGTGAGAAGCTATTAGCAGAGTCCTCTCCTGAGGGTTCTTGGGCCTTATTGAGTTGAATGTTAGCATGACAGTACTGCAAATAACTCAGTTGTAGGCTTTTTCTTTCTTTCTTTTTTTTAAACAGTTAGCACGGATTTCCCCATAGTGTTGGCCAGTCTAGAAAATTATTGCTGAAAATGAAGTCCCCAAAGCTAGGTTGGCCGCTGCCCTTCTGAGTCATGAAAAAATGTGAAAACTGGAAAATATGTCACGGTCCCTTGGGGTCAACTCTGCCTTTTGTGACTCCTAGCAATATGTGAAAAAAAAAAAAATCAAACACCAACTGTTATTCGTAAGTGGCTTAGAAATTATGAAATACATCAATTGAGACAATAGTATATTTGGGTTGTTTTATTGGCTTTAACAAATAATTAAATGACTATAAAAATGAATAAGTAGTGTATTTTCTTGCTATAGGCATCGAGGGAATGCTGGATTTTTCTTCTTAATGTACATTAGTAAATGTATGAGATTAATATCTAAAATACTGACACCTTGAAGATTTTAAGTGATACATTTGAAATTCAATTAAACTATATTTTCTATCTCTATTTGATTTAAATTGCAACGAGAATACACATGAGGAGGTCTCCGTATAGGTTGCAAAATATAATTTAAGAGAGCTGTCATGTCTGCTGCTCCATTTGCATTTCCCATCTAGCCCGTCCACACGGGCACACAGATGCACAAGGAATCGAGGCTCCTAGCAGGGCAGAGGTGGCAGTTGGTAGTGGCTCTTCAGGCGGACAGCTATTTTTAAATGTTAAATTATAATCTAGTTGCACTGTATGTATTTTACCATTTTTAATTTGTAAGGTTGTGAAAATTTTCCTAATCAACTAATAATCTTTGCTTCATTAGATCACCACTAACCAGATGGCTTAGAGACGGTTTGGTCAGAAGCGCCTTTTAATATGATATTTATTCTTTTTTCTTATTAAACTCACCTATTATCATCTTAGAAAATCAGTCTAAAAGTCATCTTAAAAATTGCCATCCTTTGAAAGCTATTGTGCATATCTGTGTATATATTTTCCTTCATTAACATTAATTTAAAAATGTTCAAAAATATGTTCATTTTATGTATATTTACTATGATAGTGAGGTAACATGTGCATAGTATTAAAAATACTTTACAAAGCTACCCCTTAACATTTTTCATCATAATATTTTTTTCCTGTTTCAATCATAGCAGGGAGTAAATCCCAAAGAATCAGATCCAAAATAATTTTAGATATACTAAGGATTTTCACTAACTTTGGTATGCAATAAAATTTAGCTCTTGATTATGAAATAGGAAAACTCGAATAAGAGGTGAATCCAATGGGCCTGTGATGACTTAGTTCTGTGTCACAGTGTCTTTGGAAATAAAACCGATACACTAAGAAGGGGGAAGGAGCTAATAGACACACTCCTTGAACTCAGCCAGTAAGACTGGAATAAATCTTAACTGTCTTCCTCGTATATTTGTGTTGCTTTGGAGAGCAGCTTTGAAAGATACAGCCCCATACATTTTGCTGCTCTGGGTGAGCATGTATTTGCCTATCAGATGTGATTAAAAATGTCAAATTTTAAACTTTTTTAAAAACATAGTGAAACACAGTTTTCCATTAATCCTACCAGAATATACCCCTTTATTTTTAGCTCATGTGTCCTGGCATTCTGACCATTTTTCAAGAAGTAGTATAAATCCTTTTTTTTTTTTTTTTGTGGTACCAGGGATCAAACTCAGGACCTTGCACGTGCCAGGCAGGCGCTTGCGCCGCTGAGCCGTCTCCGTGGCCCTAGCTGCACTTCCATAGCTGCCTTGATGCCCTGAATAGGTTCAAAACATCAATCTTTCCTGTCCACTTTGACTCTGGGGGAGAACTAGAAGTCACTTGGTGACAGATGTCAGGAGAAGGTAGGTGAGGACGCATTGCAGTGTGTCTACGAGCCTGCCTGTCCATCGGATGACATTTGGGAGCAGCGTTCGCCATAGTTGTGACCACTCCCCATAAAGATAAGCACAAAAGGTGACTTCCAGAACTGCTCTGAAAGTGGAAGATATGATGGAGTAAGTGTGCTCAAAGATAGGAATATTTTCAGTGTGTCTTTTAGTTCCTTTTTTTATTGCTGGGACAAAATGCCTGACACCTGTAAGCTAAAGGAGAGGTCTCTTTTGGCTCGCAGTTTGTAAAGGTTTCAGTTCTTAGTTGGCTGGCTTTATGTGAGCCACAGCAGATGGGCATCCTGGTGAGGACCCAGCATGCCTGGCAGCAGACGAGCCCTCCTACTTTCCCCTTTCTCCCTCTAGGCTGCAAGACTATTGGTTGGAGTCACACCACACCCACGCCCAGGGTGGGCCTCCCTCTTGAACAAATCCAGTGTCCATACCCAGATCTATGCTAAACCAGTCAGTGAATGAATCTGGTGCCACACCCATGATCCAGTCACTCCCAAAGCCCTGCCACTCGAGTGTATGAGGCTTTGGGGAGGACATCTATACAAACCAGAAGGGGGGGATTGATGGCAGTGTTGTCTATCACAGGAATAGTTTTTATTTATTTATTTAAACACGCTGTGTATGAAGAGCACCCCTTCCACTGGGTGTCTGCTCTGTGACCAGCACTCTTCTCGCCTTGGCTGCAGAGCTGTCGGAAGCAGAACAAATCCCTGTGCTCCAGCTGCTTGCTTCAAGAGGAGATGCACACACAAGGCACCCCGCAACTGTGTGATAGGGGCGGGGTGGAAAGGTCCCCACGTTACTAAGGAAACATTAAAGAGAGGGCAGCGAATCAAGCCTGCGCTGCTGTTCACAGTTACCCTAGTTACTCAAGTATCAGATTAGCAGTATAACATTCTGTTGGATAGATTTTCAAACTCTGCTATCCTGGTCAATCTTAATACATTGGAATTGCTGAGGTAAATATACTCAGGAATATTTATCCATATGATTGTGGCCTAAGAGAAAAGCGCATTTTTAGGAAAAGCACATTTTTAGATAGAGCTGATACATTCTTTATTAGTCCAGAGTACCTGCAGAGCAACCACTTAACTCACACTAACCTTTGAAATGTGACTTTTCCCCACAACTATGCACATGCATGTATGTGCTTATGTATACAGAAATATATTTGATTTTGGTTCCGTGGAAATCAAATATCATCAAATTATGTTTCTATCGAAGTGTAGTCCCATGGAGTCTGTGCAGTCAAACTGACATCAGATTTTCAGAAAGCAGACATCTGCTAATCTTGAGTTTAGCATTTGTCACACACGTCTGTGGAATGCTATAGTGTGACAGATGTTGTGCTAAGCAGATCTGTACTATTTTGAGGCAGTGTGTGACAATAAGGATGATGGAACTGCAAGGGCAGCGTCGTCCTGCAGCCGCACAGCACTGAGCACGCTTAGTTACATAAGGTGCAATTTGCGTCACAACTAATCTGCCATGCGCATGGGGCGCCACCTTGACGGTCGGAGTGTAGGTCTTAGAATAGCTGCCGTCGGGGTGTGTAGTGACTCATAATGCAAGTAACCAAATGTTAATGCAGTGATATATGGCTGAAATGCCAGTCGAGTCGCCTAAGGCCCTCTGTTACTCTTTCCTGAAACACAGATATGCAAGCCTGCATTGTAGGCTGGGTGGAAGCTAGAGCTGAGTGGTTTTGAACACGTTCACTGTGCAGTCTGGAGAGATGCTAACACCGCTATATTGTGGGGACAGAGTGTGAGCGCTTCGTGCAGTCTTTGCAGGTGAATCTGAGGTCTACCTCCGATTAAGAAGTGAAGTTGTTGCTTAAAGATTCTTTATGGGCGGGCGAGATAGCCCACCAGACTAAGCCCCTGCTTAGGCAAGCACAGGGACCAGGATTCGATACCTGCACCCCAGCCATGCTGGCCCACCCCCGGCCCTGCTGAGCCAGCCACCCAGTCCAGGCGTGGTGGTGCACACCTGTAATCCCAGTGCTGGGGAGGCTGAAAACGGGAGGATCACTAGGAGTCTGAGCTGTGTAGTGAGACCCCGTACCAAATACATTAAAATAAATAAACAAATAAATATCTCTTAAATGTATGAAAATATGCATGGTACAACTTTACCTTTTTATTTTTTATATAAAAATTACAGATAAACCAAAGCAACTCAACCTGCTTTCTTCTGGTGTAGATTCCAGGTATATACAACTCACCGTTCAGAAAAGAGCCAGACCCTTGGGAGCTGCGACTGCAGAAGGCGAAGCCTTTGGCTCCCCGAAGACGCAGAGAGGAGCCGAAGTCCTGTGTGGGCCTGGTCGACTGGCTGGCCTGCACCAGTGCCCGCTCATTCCCTCGGCCCGACAGCCTGCCTCCCATCGACAGGAAGCCCTGTCAGGTACTCTTTTGACCTGTAAGAGCTTTGTCACTAAATGCTTGCTTTTATCCTTGTATTTGGGGTAGGATACGCATTACACGAAGGTCCCACCACACCCGCTTTTCAGCGTGCATTTCAGGGACGCTGCGGCCTCGCTTCTGCAGCCATCAGTGCTGTCTGACCGCTGCGTTCTTTCCATCCTGCAAACTCAGACACTGTGCCCAGGACGAGCTTCCGTTTCCTTCCTCCCGCCTCGTTGTGGCACATCCCTCTCAGCGTCGCGGTGTTCAGCTTGAGCCGTGCTGTAGCGGCCGTCAGGTGCATGTAGGAGGGAGGATTCCTTCCCTTTGTTGGGCCGCACTCCACTCCGTGTGCATGTCACAATGTATCTATTCATTTGTCCGTAGACAGGAGGGCTGTCGCCAAGCGTTAGCTGCTGCGTAAAAGGTCACCGTGCATATGGCTGTAGCCACCGCGCTCTGTTCCTAGCCCTGGAATCGCTAGGTCCTTCGGTAGTTCTGTTCTAGCTCTTACTGTTTTCTGCCCTGGCTGTACCTTTTTCCCTTCCCACCACAGCACCCAAGTGTTCCCATTTCTCTCCATCTTTGCCTGTTCTTACCGTCCTCTGGTTAGATACGACGTGGCGCTCTTTTGCAGTTTCGATTTGTGTCCCCCTCCCTGTCCATTCTGGTATTAACCAGATTTTTATATTCTTATTGGTCATTTCTGGATCTTCGCTGGAGAAATGTCTATTCGAGCCCTCCACCTATATTCTGAGTGCGGTTTGTCGATGAGTTTTAGGAGTTCCCCATCTATTCTGAAGATCAGTACCTTATCAGATATACGACTTGCAAATATTTCTTGCTGTTCTGTAGGTAGATGTTTTTACACTACAGACCGTTTCTTGATATTCACACAATTATTTTTTATAATTCATGATGAAAATTATTTCTTATAAAATCTAATTTTAAACGGTAAACATAAGTTATTATAGTGTTTAATGAGGAACTCAGCCAGTGCTTCTCTGGTGGTGAATTTTGTTGTGCTCAATATGATGTTGGAAGATGAATTTTGCCTAAAATGTAGACCTTCTTTGCAAAAAGGTTATAAACTATTTGCTACAATCTGTTTTGGGGGGAAAACTGTTTATACATTACCTTAGCTATTTAATCTAAACTCTGTTCTGATGATGTTCTTTTTATATACCATTTTATCCTTAACGTGCATTTGAGAAACAGAAGCATTCCAAAACGAAGTTAACCACTGGGACTTGTAGAATTTAATTCCAGCAGAGATATCTAATCACTTTTCTTTACTTTTCTTGTTAGAAAAGGAAGAAGCAAGCTTCATACTCCAGGCAGGAGATTATGCTGAGCCATGAGTAGCGGAGGGTAGAGGTCACGGGGACCCCATGGCCACTGCCACCCGCACCCCGACACTGAGCTGGCTTCACAGCCAGAGAGGCTGTATTGTCTGCCCACTTTACCACAATTATTTATAGTATCTTGTTTCTCTACTGTCTATAGTTTTGCCTTTAATTCTCTTTATTTATTTTTCTCTTTTCAAAACTGCTACTAGTTAGTACTACTAGTCAATGCCCAATACCATATTATAGAAGCCATAAAAAATCAAATTTATAAGGCCAGTTTCCCCCCTGAATCACTTTCTGTTTTTCCTCATCTGTAACTCCTTTGGAATATCGATGCCAGTATTTTAAGTTGCCTTTAAGCTACCCTGTGTATATAAATGATACAGAGAAACTGATTGTTATGGTTTGTGTCTAGGTGTCCCCCCAAAGTCTCATGCAGTCATGGGCGGCTCCTGGAGTTCGTGATTGATATTGTGGGTGTGGGTGCTGCCCCTGCCCTGGCGCAGGGAATTTACACTGACAGTGTGAGTTGGGGAGAGGCTGGCGTGCTGCCTGAGCTGCTGTTCCTCCTGCTCTCTGCTCTTCGCCTCCGCCCTGAAAGGTTGCCCTCTGCCATGTGCCGCTCTGCCTGGGAGCCAGCTGAGTGTGGACTGAAACCTCCAGCCACTGTGAGCTTTCCTTCCCTAATTTTGAGTGTTGAGTATTTGTCCCAGCAACGAGAGAAGAGTAACCGAGGACTGATACATCTTTCTCTTTCTGAAATACCCTGACAGGCTATGGTAATAACAAAATACCTGAGGCTGAGTGCTGTATAAGAAGACAGAAAGGGAGAGGCTTACTTAATGCACAGTTCTGGAGGCGTGTAGTCCAACGGCAAGCGGCTCTGTCTGTCCTGGTTTAGGTGAAGGCTCCAGGGCCACGTGACTGCTGCAGCGAATAGGGGAGGGGCGTGCGGGAAGGGACTGAGCTCACACGACGCAGTCAGGTCAGCGCAGCGCGGACCCCTCCCGAGGGTGCCGCTCTGTGCCCTGACACCTTCCACACTCCCAACTCAAAAGACCACCCCACCCTTCTTTTTCATGGAAAAAAGATAAAGCAGAATTTAATAACAAAATAACAGGATAATAATAATAGGTCATACATTACATGTTGTTGTCTTTAAAGAAGTTGCTCAGGCATAAAATTTCTCTTTCATTTTAGCCCGAATCTTCCTTTTCAGTGAACTAAGAGACACCAGTAGTATACCTGACTTGCACTTTTTCCCGATTCCATGCTGTCCTTTCCCCTATTCTAGATCCCTTTTTTCCTTCTTTTCTTTTCATTTTATGCATTTGGTACAGGGTCTAACTACACAGCTTGGCCTTGTAGTGATCCTCCTGTCTCAGCCTCCCAGCTCTGGGGTTACAGGCGTGCGCCACCAAGCCCAGCCTCGGCCACCCAGCTCAGCGGGCCTGAGGGAGGGGCTGGCTCGGTGTGTGGTACCAGGGACCAAACCCTGGTCCCTACATTTGCTTAAGCAGGCACTCAGCCCGCTGAGCTATCTCACCAGCCCCCGTTTTCTCCTTTCAAACAACTTCCCCTTTTCATAATATCTGTTTTACATTTTAGACCTTATTTACTCTTTCAGACATCTTACCAAAGAAATATATGTGCACCTATGTTTATGCCAGGGTAATTTGTCATAGCTAAATCTTGGAAACAGCCCAAATACCCATCAACTGAGGAATGGATAAAAAAGATATGAATAGAAGGATAAGCTTTGATAGGTAAATGGATACAACTACAGACCATAGTCCTAAGTAAGATAATGGGACCTGTGTGTGTGTAAACATCATAGTGACTCTGATAGGTTTTTTCAGGTAAATGGTACAGCAGAGAAACAGGCAGAAGGAAAAAGAGAAAGGGGCTTTATTTTCTTTGAGAACACAGAGGGAATTTGGGGATGATAAGAAATTCTCTCAATTGGAACAAAGGGGCTTTTATGTTCTTTTGCCAGGGGTAGAGTTTGGATGGGATGTTTAGATGTACCTCAGGGAGCTGACTGGGGGGCTTTCCTGAGGTGACAGGGAGGGTGGAAGTAAATTATGTCCTAGGCTAAGTTGAATAAAAAGGGGGAGGTGGTCTTGGGAAGATGGGATTTTGTTTTAAGGGCATCGACCACGTTAGATGACCACCATGATGATTTTAGCGATTTATACTAAGGCCAGAACCTGGCAGTCTCTCTAGCGTAGGAACCTGAAAGAGTAAATAAATCCAATAGGTCCTACGGATACTGTGAGAGGGGAAGGAAAACTGGGATGAAGGAAAGAAGAAAAAGAAAGAAAGAGAAAAGAAAGATGTATATACACAGTATAACTTGGAAAAAATTATCACATAAGAGGTACAATGGTTACATATGTGAGTCTGACATATTTCAATTATGAGTATGGTCTCCAATTGCATCCATTTATCTTTAAAAGCCTCGGATTTATCTGTCTTTATGTGAGTAATATTCCATTATATAAAAATGCTACATTATTTTAATACATTCCTCACTGATGAACATTTGAGTTGTTTCCAAAATTAAATTTACAAGTTGTGCTGCTATAACCATGAGCTGCACATGTATTGCTGTGCTACGGCGTTTCTAATTCTTCGGGGAAGATACCTGGAAGGGAAGTAGCTGGGTGGAATGGGACCTCTAATCCTAGGTTTTTGAAGACTCTCCACACTGATTTCCACCGTGGTTGTACCAGTCTACACTCCCATGGACAGTGGAGAAGGTTTCTTTTTCCCCTTCAGCCCCTCCAGCATTGGTTGTTAGTTGATTTCTTGAAGGTTGCCATTCTTTCTGGAGTGAGATAGAATCTCATAAATGTTTCTATCTGCATTTCTCCAATGACCAGTGATGTTGAACTTTTTTTTTTTCATATATTTATTTGCTATTTGTATTTCTTCCTTTGAGAAGTGTGAAAATGATGCCCCCCCTTTTTTTTTTTCAGTACTGGGGATTGAACTCAGGACCCTGTGCTTGCCGTGCAAGCACTTATTCTACTGAGCTATCTCCCCGGCCCCCATGATACCTATTTTTTTTACTGGGTCTTTGAATTTTTTCCGTAATTTTCTTGAGAAACAAATAGCAATGAGGAAGTTTAAAATCTGATTAGTATGACAGTTTCATTAACTGTATTAATATGCAGTTAATACATTGCATATTGTCCTAGTGGTTGTTCATTGTACAAGATGCAGACATGATATCCTGTTTACAAACACTATTAGAACAAATCTCTCTATTCATTGAATTAAGAGAATGTAGCTGTATATCTATCCTATTTTGAATATACAGATACAAAATGGTCGTTCATTTGTATTCCCTTTTTTGTTTAGCTTTGTCATTTAAATATTATAGGTGTGTGAATTCAGCAAAATATTCCAAAATAGTCCAGTAGTCCACAATACTAGTGGGTTTTCTGTAAAACTGGAATGTCAGAAGTTGTTGACTTGAGTCTTTTGCAGCTCAGCATATTAATATGACTTTACTTTTTACACTTCGTTTTTATACTTTTCTGCTGGATGGTTAGGACCAAGATAAAGCAAGACCTGTATAACAAGAAATGTAGCATTTGTATCTAGTAAGTCAGTCAAATCCCCTCCAGACTTATCCTGAGACCCT